TCGTGCTGCTGCAATCAAACAGCTTCCAAAGCAAGAAACAACTGCTGCTGCAGCTGCTGCTGCTGCAGCTGCTGCTGCTGCTGCTTCTGCTGCTGCTGCCCTTTTGCATGCTCTTGCCCATGTTCTTGACACCCATTGGTGCCATATAAATGAGAAAATTGCCAAACGTGACGTCTGAAAAATATATACAAGATATATAGAAGTGCCTAACGTGTCGTCTGACACCCTAGAAAAACACAATTTTTCGACAGATTCTGTTGCCGGAGGCTGCTAGCAGTAAAACAGGTTCGAAAAAATCACCTGCCGGAGGGGAAAACACCAGGGCTCTGAAGGACGAGCGAGTGCCAGAACCACGCCAAAAAAGTGCCTAACGTGTCGTCTGAAATCCTAGAAAAAGCTAGATTTTTGGTAGGCTGCTGGCTACTGGCTGCTGGCTGCTACTGGCGCTGGCTGCTAGCTACTGGCTATGTGCACCTTTTGCGTGCTCTTGCCCACGTTCTTGACACCCATTGGTGCCATCCTAGAAAAACACAATTTTTCGTGCTGCTAGCTGCTGCACTGCTGCCGTTGCGCTTACTGCTGCTGCGTCTGCTTGGAAAAACACGATTTTTCGATAGATTCTGTTGCTGGCGGCTGCTAGCAGTAAAACAGGTTCGAAAAAATCACCTGCCGGAGGGGAAAACACCAGGGCTCTGAAGGACGAGCGAGTGCCAGAACCACGCCCAAAAAGTGCCTAACGTGTCGTCTGAAATCCTAGAAAAATTTAGATTTTTGGTAGGCTGCTGGCTACTGGCTGCTGGCTGCTACTGGCGCTGGCTGCTAGCTACTGGCTATGTGCACCTTTTGCGTGCTCTTGCCCACGTTCTTGACACCCATTGGTGCCATCCTAGAAAAACACAATTTTTCGTGCTGCTAGCTGCTGCACTGCTGCCATTGCGCTTACTGCTGCTGCGTCTGCTTGGAAAAACGCAATTTTTCGATAGATTCTGTTGCTGGCGGCTGCTAGCAGTAAAACAGGTTCGAAAAAATCACCTGCCGAGTGGGAAAACACCAGGGCTCTGAAGGACGAGCGAGTGCCAGAACCACGCCAAAAAAGTGCCTAACGTGTCGTCTGAAATCCTAGAAAAATCTAGAGATTTTTGGTAGGCTGCTGGCTACTGGCTGCTGGCTGCTACTGGCGCTGGCTGTTAGCCATTAGTGCCATCCTTGAAAAACACAATTTTTCGTGCTGCTAGCTGCTGCACTGCTGCCGTTGCGCGTGCTGCTGCTGCGTCTGCTTGTGTCTGCTGCTGCCTACTGATGCTTGCTGCTGCCTGCTGCTGCCTGCGGCGGCCTGCTGCCTGCTGCTGGTGCTGCTGCTGGTGGCTGGTGCTGCTGTGGTGCTGCTGTCGTGCTGCTGCAATCAAACAGCTTCCAAAGCAAGAAACAACTGCTGCTGCAGCTGCTGCTGCTGCAGCTGCTGCTGCTGCTGCTTCTGCTGCTGCTGCCCTTTTGCATGCTCTTGCCCATGTTCTTGACACCCATTGGTGCCATATAAATGAGAAAATTGCCAAACGTGACGTCTGAAACCCTATAGAAATATATACAAGATATATAGAAGTGCCTAACATGTCGTCTGACATCCTAGAAAAACACAATTTTTCGACAGATTCTGTTGCTGGAGGCTGCTAGCAGTAAAACAGGTTCGAAAAAATCACCTGCCGGGGGGGAAAACACCAGGGCTCGGAAGGACGAGCGAGTGCCAGAACCACGCCAAAAAAGTGCCTAACGTGTCATCTGAAATCCTAGAAAAAGCTAGATTTTTAGTAGGCTGCTGGCTACTGGCTGTTGGCTGCTACTGGCGCTGGCTGCTAGCTACTGGCTATGTGCACCTTTTGCGTGCTCTTGCCCATGTTCTTGACACCCATTGGTGCTATATAAACGAGAAAACTGCCAAACGTCACGTTTGAAACCTTATAGAAATATATACAAGATATATAGAAGTGCCTAACGTGTCGTCTGACACCCTAGAAAAACACAATTTTTCGATAGATTCTGTTGCTGGCGGCTGCTAGCAGTAAAACAGGTTCGAAAAAATCACCTGCCGGGGGGGAAAACACCAGGGCTGAAGGACGAGCGAGTGCCAGAACCACGCCAAAAAAGTGCCTAACGTGTCGTCTGAAATCCTAGAAAAATCTAGATTTTTGGTAGGCTGCTGGCTACTGGCTGCTGGCTGCTACTGGCGCTGGCTGCTAGCTACTGGCTATGTGCACCTTTTGCGTGCTCTTGCCCACGTTCTTGACACCGATTGGTGCCATCCTAGAAAAACACAATTTTTCGTGCTGCTAGCTGCTGCACTGCTGCCGTTGCGCTTACTGCTGCTGCGTCTGCTTGGAAAAACACAATTTTTCGATAGATTCTGTTGCTGGCGGCTGCTAGCAGTAAAACAGGTTCGAAAAAATCACCTGCCGGGGGGGAAAACACCAGGGCTCTGAAGGACGAGCGAGTGCCAGAACCACGCCAAAAAAGTGCCTAACGTGTCGTCTGAAATCCTAGAAAAATCTAGATTTTTGGTAGGCTGCTGGCTACTGGCTGCTGGCTGCTACTGGCGCTGGCTGCTAGCTACTGGCTATGTGCACCTTTTGCGTGCTCTTGCCCACGTTCTTGACACCCATTGGTGCCATCCTAGAAAAACACAATTTTTCGTGCTGCTAGCTGCTGCACTGCTGCCGTTGCGCTTACTGCTGCTGCGTCTGCTTGTGTCTGCTGCTGCCTACTGATGCTTGCTGCTGCCTGCTGCTGCCTGCGGTGGCCTGCTGCCTCCTGCTGGTGCTGCTGCTGGTGGCTGCTGCTGCTGTGGTGCTGCTGTCGTGCTGCTGCAATCAAACAGCTTCCAAAGCAAGAAACAACTGCTGCTGCTGCTGCTTCTGCTGCTGCTGCTGCTGCTGCTGCTGCTGCCCTTTTGCGTGCTCTTGCCCATAAGCCCCAAAATTGCACCCCGAAAATGCCCTAACGTAACTTCTGAAACCCATAGAACATGATGATTTTGGCTACTTTTTCCTCCTGCTGCTGCTGCGGCTCCTGCTCCTAAACTTGTCTGAAATCCTAGAAAAAGCTAGATTTTTGGTAGGCTGCTGGCTACTGGCTGTTGGCTGCTACTGGCGCTGGCTGCTAGCTACTGGCTATGTGCACCTTTTGCGTGCTCTTGCCCATGTTCTTGACACCCATTGGTGCTATATAAACGAGAAAACTGCCAAACGTCACGTTTGAAACCTTATAGAAATATATACAAGATATATAGAAGTGCCTAACGTGTCGTCTGACACCCTAGAAAAACACAATTTTTCGATAGATTCTGTTGCTGGCGGCTGCTAGCAGTAAAACAGGTTCGAAAAAATCACCTGCCGGGGGGGAAAACACCAGGGCTCTGAAGGACGAGCGAGTGCCAGAACCACGCCCAAAAAGTGCCTAACGCGTCGTCTGAAATCCTAGAAAAATCTAGATTTTTGGTAGGCTGCTGGCTACTGGCTGCTGGCTGCTACTGGCGCTGGCTGCTAGCTACTGGCTATGTGCACCTTTTGCGTGCTCTTGCCCACGTTCTTGACACCCATTGGTGCAAATTCCAATCCACTTTTGATTGCTGCTGCTGCTGCTGCTGCTGGTGGCTAGCTGCGACGGCTAAAAGTAAACCACTCCCATTCCTTATCCTGCTAGAAATCGCATCCAATCCAATCCATCCAACGGTGACTGCTGCTGCCAGCTCCCATGCCCTCAAGACAGCTCCACAACGAAGTCAAATGCTGTCCCGAGGCTTGACGTCCCTTCCGAAATCCTAGAGAACTAGCTCTTCAACTAGCTCTTCGACTTACAGCGCCGCCAAAATTGTCGGACCCGCCAGCCTGAAACACCATGGCAGTGAAGGACGAAGAAGCCACCAAATCGCACCAAAAAACTCCCTAACGTCCACTCTGAAATCCTAGCGACCTAGCTCTTCAACTAGCTCTTCAACTAGCTCTTCAACTTACAACTTCTGAGCCGCCAAAACGCCGGACCCACCAGCCTGAAATACCAGGCAGTGAAGGACGAAGAAGCCACCAAATCGCACCAAAAAACTCCCTAACGTCCCTTCTGAAATCCTAGAGACCTAGCACTTCAACTACCTCTTCAACTTACAGCTTCTGACACGCCAAAACGCCAGACCCGCCAGCCTGAAACACCATGGCAGTGAAGGACGAAGAAGCCACCAAGCATGAACCCAAAAAAAGGGCAGGCGGGAAGGGCAACCCGAGGAGCCCCACGTACTTCGAGGAGACTCCGGGAAGGACCCCCCACCGGTGAAACAAAAACCCCGGAGTCAGGGAATCGAGGTACGTGACCGGTGGGAGGGGGACCCAACAGAGTCCCCCGGCAAAGGGTCATGGTTTGTTGTTGTTGGTTGTTGTTTCTTGTTGTTTCTTGTTATTTATTGTTGTTTGGTGTTGTTTGTTATTGTTGTTTGTTGTTGTTTGGGTTTATGTTTGTCTTTGTGGTTGTTGTTGTTGTTGTTGTTGTTGTTCTTGTTCTTCTTCTTGTTGTTGTTCTTGTTGTTGTTGTTGTTGTTGTTCTTCTTCTTCTTGTTGTTGTTGTTGTTGTTCTTGTTCTTCTTGTTGTTGTTGTTGCTGCTGTTGCTGTTGCTAGTTCTGTTGCTGTTACTCTTGCTCAATGCTGCTGCTGCTGCTGCTGCTGCTGCTGCTGCTGCCTCACATGCCTGCTGGCTGCTGCAAGTATGCCTGCTGGCTGCAGCAAGTCCTTTTCTTCCATCTTCTTCCCTTACGCGCTCCCCCTTGCGTCGGCCGGGGTCGGCGGATATACATGGGATGTTTCAGATTGGGGGCAAGCTGGTGGGTCCATTCCTGGTCATTTGGAACTACAGCAACCTTTTACCTACAGACCTGTTTAGACTGGTTACCTCTTCCCCAAATGTCACTGGAGAGCTGATTCCGGAGAATTTATTGTATTGCGGTTGTCGTCATCCTGCCCAGGAGGTTTTGGCTGGTGCGCTTTCTGCATCCTCGTTTCAATGATCGCAGAGCATTGGTGCCAGAACAAGGTCTGAGCTTTGGATACTGCGTAATGCAACTTGTCAAACAGTTTCAGGTTGCATGTTATTCGGTTGCGGCAACAAACAGTTGAGCATTTCACGAAAGCTAACTTCTGCTAGCTGAAGCCCCCCTTGCTTTAGCAAGGTATTGGGGGGCTGAAATCTCCCATCGCATGAAACTTCATAGTTATACCCCCCCTCTCCCTCGCTTTTTCGCAAGCAGTTTGGCCGTGGCTCAATCCCCCGGGGACACTGTCGGCATGTCCCCACTGGCAGCACCTTCGGCAGCATCCGCATCCTCAGCATCATTGTGTTTTCATGCAAAGCTCCCCGCCAAGCTAGCTTTCCTCATTGTCATGCCCAGGCCTGAGAGCATTCTTCTGTCGTCAGCGATGGTTAGAGAATGTGAAGACTTTAGCGGTCGCGGCTTGGAAGTAACTGCAGACATTTGCAAAGGTCAGATGTTATTTGAGGAGCTCCTGCATAGTGTTTCCATCTCGGCTTTCAAGTGATCTTACTTTACAAGATCTGGAGGTGGTTGTTAGGTGCTGCTGCTGTTTCATTGTGGTCATGTCACGCAATGGTTTTCTGATTTTCTGATTTTTTTGTTTGATGATTTTTGGCCCAGCAGGAGAGCCCCTTCTTCATCACAGCGGATGATGTGAACGAGGTGATCCGAGCATTCTTCATGCTGAAGGCCCAGGCGGCCAAGGCGAAAGACGCTCTGCAAGGCGAGTAGACCATGAAGTAAGAACCCATAAGAAGAAATCATTCGAAATGCAAAAAGATGCAGAAAGTATCAACCTGATTCAATCCACCAACCCGGATGAACATCACGTAAAACACTTTTGTTAAACAACTCATTACAACAGTCTTGAAACTTCTTGCCCTGTTACCGTACCATTGTAGACTGTCGAGTCTGGAGTGGGGGGAGTGTAAGGTGTGGAGTGTGAAGTGTAGAGTGCAAGGTGTGAAGTGTAGAGTGTGGCATGTGGTGTGGAGTAGGGAGTGGAAGTGTGGAGTGCAAAGTGTGGAGTGTAGAGTGTGAAGTGTGGAGTCGGAGTTGTGGAGTGTGGAGTGTAGAGTGTGGAGTCAGTGTGGAGCGTGGAGTGTAGGGTGTGGAGTAGGGTGAGGGGAGTGCAGAGTGTGGAGTGTAAATGGTAGTGGGTGGAGCGTAAAGCGTGGAATGTGAAGTGGGGGATGTGAAGTGCAAAGTGTAGAGTGTGGAGTGTGTAGTGTACGGTGTAAAATGTAGAGTCTTGAGTCTGGAGTGTGGAGTGTAGAGTGATGTAGAGTGTGTAGTGCAAAGTGTAGAGTGTAGAGTGCGGTGTAGATGAGTGTAGAGTGTAGAGTGTAGAGTGTGGAGTGGGGAACCTCAAGTCTACAGTGACCGTGACCGGTACAGTACTGTTGGAAGGCAGTCTGCGCCATCGCCGTTGCAACTTCACCTCCAATTGCGCCTGCCGTGCAAAATTGCACGAAAGACCAGCACAAAGTGGCACCTCGCGCAGCCGTATTATAGCAAAAAGCACAAACACAAGTGACCCAAGTACCAAATACATCCAAATACTGCGCATGCTGCGAAAGATGAAACCCTCACGATGTACTGCGCCTGCCACGACGTTTGCACTTTGTCCCTACTTGATGCAGCAATTCAAATTCGACTTGCAAAAAGAACAGCACCACAGGTCTAAAGTGCTGCGCCTGCCACCAAAAATGCACATGGACATCTCTAAAGTGTTGTGCCTGCCACGAAAAATCATATTACGAAAACCCTTCAAAAACATTGCGCCTGTCACAAAACAATTTTCGACTGAATGTGACCAAGGGCCATGCCTGCAAGAGAAAGCAACATTTCAGGTCTTGCCAATTTGTGAAATTACGGCTGTATTTTTTTAAAGACCGGTTGGAAAATGACAATGCGTGAAGTGCTGACGACTGAGAATAGCCGGCCACCTCCCTTTGCCTTCAATACTAGACCCTCTAACCCTCCAAACACAACATTGTAGTGCCCCTTTAATGGGAGAATTGGTGTCCAAGTGGCCTTGGCTATAGCCAGGCCTCTTTTTCACTCATGCCAATCAGACCCACTAGTCCAATTAGTCCTCATTTGGGAAATTGTGTTGGCTTGTTATTTGCCGAAAAGAAGAAGTCCGCACAAGGCCTTTTGTGGACCTGTTTTTGTCAACGAGGAAGCTGCAAAAGGGCAATTTTGTTACTAGATACTTCGGGGATACCTTTGATAGTTTTCACTCCTTCCAACGGTTGTGGATCAAGGTCCTCCTTCCAACGGTTGTGGATCAAGGTCCACGCCATATTTTTCGGTGACGGCTTCTTTTGCAATGACAACATTTCCACAGGAAAACTTGGGCACCTTCCATTGTTTCCATTCCTTCCATGTTGTATGGAGGTGTATGGCCGGCTATAGGCCAAGGGGTTAGACAGTTTATTTCTAGATTCTAGATTTTATAGTGTTTTGTCGATGGTGGACGGGTGACTTCTGAACATTTCACTAGTGCATCGTTTGTGGACTGTTTATGGACAAACCACTGACCTTCGGAACGTATCAAGGGTTAAATGAGTACCAGATAGTTTGGGTAATTCGCGGATTGTCTTTGGTTGCTTTGGTTTTCGCATAGTTTGTTGCAACCATCAACTTTCCTGGTTTTGATGCGCCTGTGCACAAGTGGGTCAATTGAATATCCAAGCCCACTGCAGGCGCCAGTTTCTTCAACAAGAGAAACAGCCCAGAGCGGCCTGGACACAGACGGCCATAGAGAGAGAGAGAGAGAGAGAGGGCGAGAGAGAGAGAGAGAGAGAGAGAGAGAGAGAGGGAGAGAGAGAGAGAGAGAGGGAAAACAAGATAACACGCCCGTAGCAAAGTTCACTTGAAACTCAAAGTTCACTTGAAACTGCCCAAATCTTGTCAGGAGGCTTGGATCAAACATAGCATTGCCGGCGCTAAAGAAGAATACTCAACATAGAAAGATAGGAGAAGAACCAGTTTCAAAAATGAAATGAAGGTTGCTGGCCGAAACATCTCTCTCCATTTTATTCAAGGCTCTTCAAAACAGCGTCAAACGAGGCAAACACCTTCAGCAAATATGAAGGTCAATGGCCGAGACTGGTTTGTGTTGCATCTTTTTGGATGGACAAATTCATTTTTGTGTAAAGCTGTTCATTTTCCACTAGGACTCTAGGACCTACGAATTTTCAGGTCCTAGTGGATATAGGGACCCTCTGGATGGAGTCACACTTGCCTGGTGGGCACGAGCGATTTTGTATAATGCTGTCGAATAATATCATTGTGAAACAATTTAAACGCAAGTAAAGAATGAAATGAACCACGCAAGCCCACTATTCAGTTCTGCTCAGAACCGTTCAGGGCAAAATAGCACATTGACATTGGGTCTAGATTGTTTGCCCAGGCCCGAGAAACAAATAAATTGGGCCTGGATTGTAATACTTTTCACATGTCCGAGCCTACAGCAAAAATCAATATTGGTCACAATCGCAAATTGGGTCTAGACTAGACAACAAAATTCTTCTATTTGTCCAGGCCCGAAAAAGAAAAATCAAAATTGCTCAAAACTGCTCAAACTTGCTGCCTCTTGCTCAAAATTGTTCCTGTAGTTTTTGGAGACATTTCGAAACATTTTGAGACGCTGTGAGAAGCAAATGGAAGAACGCGGTTGGTACAGCAATCGAACCAGAGGTTAAGGACATGGCTTGTGATTGTCTCCCTGAGAGTGTTCGCTGGAGCTTTGATGCAGCGCCCAAGGCGAAGACATCCCGACCACAAAAAAGGAATCTAGATTCAACACTGCTCCGCAGCAGTGCCACTGCGGAAAGCGGGAAAAAGAAACCCTCACGATGTACTGCACCTGCCAAGACGTTTGCGCTTTGCCATGTTGCGTCCCTGCACATTTCTCGTTCTTTCCATTGGCGTGTGCTTCTAAATTATTTGCCGCGAAAAATACTCCGCAATTACATGAGTTCATCTGATTGAGTGATGCTTGCATTCAGATTAAATTGCTTACGCTGTCTTCGCCCAGTTTCTTGGCTTGGAGGTGACCGCGTTGTTGGAGAATACGGCGTTTGAACTTTGAACTCTGTCCCCACTTGATACAGCAGCTCAAATTAATTTCGATTTGCAAACACCACACGTCTACAGCGCTGCGTCTGCCACTAACAATGCGCATGAACATCTCTGAAGTGTTGTGCCTGCCGCAAAAAGTCAAAGTCATTTATGAAAGCCCTTCAGAAGTATTGCGCCTGTCACAAATCACACGTGATCAAACACGTCACATGCCACCCATGCATTACTAAATCAACATTTCATGTCTTGCCAAACATCAAACATCCAAAAAAATGTCAGCTTTTGTAGCACATGTCAACGGTGCGGCCATATTGTAAACGGTTGTGGATGGTTGCGAAGGGTTGCGGACGGTTGCAGTCGGCAGAGCGACCTCGACACACACACACACACACACACGACAAGAATGGATCTTTGAATAGATCCGGCAGGAACTGAGTCCTGAAACATGCAATTAGATTGTTTACCAGTAGTACCGCACAAGGCGGTGGCGGAAGTTTCAAAAATAGGAAACCTATAGGAGAAGTTGGTTGTTGTGAATCAGGGATGGCAGAGCGAAGCCACTGATTGACCGAAAGGTGGTTGGAGTTGTGTTTGCTGGAATGGTTGCAATGGTTGCAGTGGTCACCTCACCCAAAACTGCTGGATGTAGTGTGATGTACTGCAACTGTAGTTTGTGGTAGCGTCGTGGTGTTGTAGGGTGGTGTGAATGTTAATTAGTGGAGTGTAGTTGCAGTCATTATGGTTGTAGCTGTGTAGTGTTGTTTTGTAGTGTAGTGTAGTGTTGTAGTTGTAGTTGTTGTGTGGTGTTAGTTGTGGGATGGGTTATCTTCCCCACATACACTTATCCCATCCCCCTCCTGTTTTACCAGTACCCTCCTGCCTAAGTGGTAGCTTCCTCATGGGAATACAGTAGTTGTCAAGTTTGTAGTCGTAGTACTCGTAAGTAGTAGTAGTAGTTGTTGATGTTGGTGTTTGCTGTTGCTGTTGCTGTTGTTGTTGTTGTTGGGCTGTGTTGTGTAGCGGTTGTAGTTGAGTTCTAGTTGTAGTTGTTGTGTGAGTGTTTTGTCGTTGTTGTTGTAGTTGTAGTTGTTGTGGTTGGTGGTGTTGTTGTTGTTGTTGTTGTTGCTGTTGCTGTTGTCGTCGAGGTTAGGGTAGTTGAGTTAGTGAAGTTAGTTAAGTTAGTCAAGTTAGTTCAGTTAATCAGTGTCTACTTTTTCGACATCTTCACGTCAAAAAAGCCTCAAAACCCTCAGTTTTTTACACTTTTGACTTCGAAATGTGCTTCGCGCCACAACGGCGTGCACTTTTTCGACACTTTTTCGACATCTGAACCTCCAAAAGTGGTCCGAGACCGTCAGTTTTTAACACTTTTGACTTGAAAATGGGCTTCGCGCCACAACGGCGTGCACTTTTTTCGACATCGCAACCTCCAAAAGTGGTCCGAACCCCTGGTGCTTTGTACATTTTGACTTGGAAATGTGCTTCGCGCCACAACGGCGTGCACTTTTTCGACATCTCAACTTCCAAAAGTGGTCCGAACCTGGTGTTTTTTGTACATTTTGACTTGGAAATGTGCTTCGCGCCACAACGGCGTGCACTTTTTCGACATCTCAACTTCCAAAAGTGGTCCGACGCTGAGG